TTTTGTTTTTCCTAATTAAAACGCTCTTTATTAAATTCCATTGTGAGTCCGAGTAAAATGTGGCACGCATGAAAGGAATCCAATGGAAATAATTTCCTTTTCTCAGGGTTTCGCGCTTTGCCGAACAGAAAGTTACAGAAGGACGTTAAGCAAACTAACCAGGCAATGCTTTGACCCAGAAGTAAGTTGAGTTTTCCGGTTGGTTATATGAGCTTTGGTGTGCGATATTCAGGCATTTATAAGCACTGTTGAATTGTCACTTGCACTGCCGGTTGACATCGCTTCGGAGGAAATGAAAAAGAACGAAACAAGGGAAGCTGAATTCTACAATGAGCGGCGAACCATTTTTTGGTATATGAAGGATAAATTTATAAATGAACAAAAAATAATTTGTCGTCATTTTTTTCAATCTAAAAATTACATTAAAATTATGTTTCTTTTTCAGTACATTATATTCGATGAGATTAAAAAAATAGTAGGGAAATAACGCATAGTCGATCAACAATACTATTTGACCAAAAGTCATTTTCTCAGACTAAGAAATGTATAGAAGAAGGTGTTGGCAGTCTCGCTTCTCTTTCAGTTGATTACTCATTTGGCAGGAATTGCCACATCAGGTAATCACCTTCTTTCATGCCGTGCATCCAAAAAGTAATGACTCGACGTACGTGTAAGGACACTTGATTCACACAAAGTTTACCATATATACGTGTCCACTGTAAACTATGCTGTGTCTAAGTTGAAAATGTATCTCAACAAGCATTCACATTAATAAAAATAATAAACGGCTAAAATCATCCTGTCAATGATATTTTTATTTGTTGTGATTTTTGCTTTTAAGAATTATGCATGTTTAAAATCCTCGAATTATTCAAAAATAATCAACAAAACCGCATTCTCTCTGTTCAAAATATATCCTTACTGAAAAAAACAACACAAAATAGAAATTTCACTATTAGATTGAATATATTTCTTTAACACGCCATAGAAGAAGGAAAGGAAATGACCTTTCATGATTGAATTAATGGAAAGAAAAACATTTTTACTCACGGACTTGATAAAACTATTTTAGTTACACTCTTGAAAGTAATTACATCACATCTTGAAAATTAAATTTGGATATTTTATTACACTGAATAAAAAATAGAAATAAATAACATGTGTACATAAAAGTAAAATATTGTTGTGGTAGCAAAAGTATTAAATACAGTATGTTACATGCTATCTCCACATAACTTTTGTACGATACTACTTTAACAATAGTATTATATTGATCCAAATACGTTTCTAGATGTTGAGTATTTTTATTAAATATAATAGGTGAATTTTTTTAAAAATCTCTCTACTGTAACGGAATAAGACACCGTGAAAACAATTTGATAATAGACACTACAGTATTAAAATATCAGTTAAATGTTGTTAACTATTGAATGTTTCATTGGAATATACGTTAATTTAAAACTTAAACGAATTAATTAAATAGTTTCGCCTGGTACAGATTTATTTTCCTATTAGTGGAAGACCAAAGAAATAGAGCAATTCAGAGGATTGACGGGGTACATCACCACAGTAATGAAGTGTTCCCTTTAAATTTCAATTGCATTTGCGGGAATAGTTTTTATGTTTCGTAATTGCTTCATTCAAATTGTCGAAATAATCCCATTTCGACTCTCTCTCTATCTTGGTCCGTTATTTGTTTTTCACTCTTTTCAACCTTTATAGTGTTAAAGAACGATTTCAATAAGGTTTTGATTTTAAACTATTCTCCCTGTGTTAACCGATTTCAATGAACGCCTAAATTGCAAATACTAATTATAGCTTTAAACACATTTTATGAAAACATATACCTCTCTACAACATAAACTAATTAGATGAAGACCTGGGGAATATTATGCTGGGGTTTTGTATCTACAGCTTCTCAATACTAAGTAGACGTTTATTAAACTTGTGTCAGTTCTATTAAAAAGCTTGGAAGCATTTTGAAAGATTTCTGGTAAAAAAAATACACTTTCAAACTATCGTTGAATTATGTTTAAGGTATTGACTTTTCGTGTATTTTTATTCAGTTATTTTTTTTATTAATTACAAAAAAATGAATTTTGAACCGCATCATATTTTATATGCGTTCACTATATTATTGAAGCCCTTTAAACCTATCTATAATACTCACAAATTTCGCATGTCATTTTTGAAATCAAGACGAACAATAATAATAACCTGATTGTAGTTATCTTCATTACTCATACATGTCAGCATGGCTATTAATTAAGTTAGTTATTAAAGGGGTGAAAATCATGTAGACTTGCCTGTATGCGAGTATCTTTTTAACCAAAAATATTCACGAATGGAGAAAAAATATCATAAATCAAGAAACTGTGGTACAATCGCTAAAAAAGTTATAGCCTAACCTGAAAGGTTTTGTAGTGATTGTATGTATTGATGTATTGTACGCGAATTCCTCCACAATGCATAGCAAACTATAGAGTTACTGATTGACATTGCAATCACTTCATTATTTAATTCAGAATCATATGTTTTAATTCTCTTATATCACCTCTCTCCAAAGACAAGAAAGCCTCCACAAAACTACAAAATATCTCATTCTATTCGTTTTTTATTTCAAGATCACAAAAAAATAAGAAATCGTTAGTTTTGTCTCGTTCTAATTGACCTTTTATATTTAATATTAAATAATTACTCTGCTTAACATAATAAACAGATCGTAATTTCACTACGCAATAATAGAATTGTTTACAATTTGTTTGGTGTCAATTCCAGGCAGATGCTGGCGCAACACCTCGTACAATAATCTACTGAGTACTCGTAAAAATTGGGACCTGGTTTTAGGTCGAATTTCCGGTTCATGGGCTCATCAAGAAAGATATTCTATGTGTATTCGGGTATTGGTCAAAACGAAGATGTATAAGGATCCAGAAGGCATCAATCACAAAGTTTAAAAAATACATTATATATTATAAATAATTAATCAGACACGTGTTTCGAGAACATTACCCTATCTTCAATGGCACCAGCACACAGAACTAAAATTGGCGCCGTCTTGTATATTTACGTTCAATGTGTTTAATCTATGATACTTGCTACCACTGATGATACGATAAGATTCCCAAAACATGTGACTAGTTAATTATTTGTAATATAATTTTAAAAATTCTTTGTGATAGATATTTCTTGTATTCTTGATGAATATGAATATTACCACAATATCTCTGCGGCCACCATGGAATATATCCAAGAAACAGATGTTTTTTTTAAAGAGGTATCTGGATGACTGTCCAATGGTGTAATTGTACATCCGCGGGGGGGGGGGGATGAGGATATATACCAAAGAGGTACAAATGGCGAACCATGACTGAAAACCTCTCCTGTAAATTCATATGAGCAGCGTTCTGAACAAGAGGCTTACGCCTCTACAGGCTTCTCTGAACGGTTCCTGCATTTTCGCTCAGAAAACCACAGGCTTGCACAAAAACGCTAGCAGCAAAAGGGGGCGGGTTTAGGCCTTTTGAAATCCTATTTAAATAAGAGGCGAGACTCCCATGATATCCCTTCACTTCCTCGCATGAACTAAAAGATAATTTGTTGCAAACCATATTTTATGCGCGTGAGGACGAGGCATGTCTTGGCGAAACTCAGGTAGGCTCGTCCGAAGGAAAATAGCGCTCTGATATTCACGCATTATACAGACGCGGCTCTTTCAATAGCGTTTTATCATCTAAAATATTGAATTCTTCCGCATTTCGAATTTCCCTCAAATGCACCAAAATCGTAACATCCAGAGTTGGCAAACATTACGCAAGTCCACACTGGGTAACATTAGCAGCCCCTATCTTTAATTCAGTTTTTTCTACAGTTCCATTGAAGAGTTGTTAGACCTAGGTGCTTTTATTGAACTGAGAAGAAGAAATATTTGAAGCCTTCAAATTCATATATACAACATACATATGTACATTAGCAACCGATGCTTAGTGTGGCGCGTTCTATCCATGCATATTTCTGCAAACGTATTGCATCTAAAAGAGTTATTGATAGAAATGCATCCCAACATTTTTTTTCTTTTAGAAATACATCCTTGCAGAAAAAGAAAGAAATGTAGCCAACTTTATTGACAATGTGAATGAGCCAGACGCTTATGAACTGGCATCACCAGCTCCCGTAACTGGTGATGTCGTTGGTGTAGTACCCACTGCGTTTAAAAAATATCAAACACTATAGATATCATCAAAATAGTTTCTTAAAATTTCATAAAAATTGTGTTTTTTGTTTCAGTATTGTTGTATTAATTCTAGTGAGAATGCATAAACATTTTATCATATATCCAAAACCGACGTTTTTGTTATTTTAAAACGTTAAAAGCCGTTTCTATATAGCCCTCTCATTACTAATGTCGTGTCAAGAAAATCAGCTCACCGGTTACTGGTTAAAAACAGTTTCCGGATTATTTTGTATTTTCCCCAAATGCGCTAAATTTGTATCATTTAGATTTTGAAAACCTTTTGCGAAGCCGCATCGAGGGACCTTTCTTTGCGTTATAACTTTTGCGCACAATTCCAACGGAAAGTTGATAGGTTTTGCCCAGGGCCACGTCGGCCGCTTGGGCCGGGCAGGGCAGGGTCGGGTCGCTTCGGGCTGGACGACGCTAGCGCTCCCCGTGGGAGCAGATGGCGGCGGCGCGCGGAAAAAGGAAGGCGTGAAATCTGCCTTAATTGGAACCTCGCCTGTGAGTGATGGCGCACCGGCTGCCGGCGCCGGTGGCGCCCGGCGCGGGCCCGCTGCGAACCTGCGGCTGAATCGGGCCCAAGAATGGATTAGGATGTAAATTACTTTCTTGTGATATTGCCCCGGAAAGGCGCGCGGGCTAGCTCGAGAGGAAATTCGCCCGCAGGGATGGAATGGACCTGACCACTCGTCGTGACCTGCGCGAAACGATGCTGTGCGGATACACCTTCGTTATATCACAGTTGTAAGTTCCTTGCTGTAAAATGTTGGGTAGGTTTTTGTTTTGCACTAAACAACATATTTTATCTTTTCAATCATTTCTTCTTTTTTTCCTAATTAACCATTAATGTTGGTTTAAACTGATCGAAATCTTTTGAAAAATCAGTTTACCTTCTTTTTCTTTTTGTAGATATTTGTTGAATATTTTATACAACACCTCTTCGTTTTAGGTGAGGTATTTAAAATACAGTTTAAATATTTCGAATTAATTCCGGAATTCCGAACTAATTGGAGGTGTGGCCTGTCGTATTCACAACAGTTCGTATTATCCAAAAAACTTTACAGTACATATACATAAATGGGATTACCAGGCACAATGCAATGTAGAGTGCGATGTGTGAAAATACTAACGTAGCGTAGCAATCACGTCATCAAGCAGATTCAGTTCCTTACGGTCAATGGGGATTACCGATTTTGGAATTTCCTCTAAGTTAAAATTACTGGCACATAAGCATGTGATATGCGTCGTAGTTACCAATGCAATAAATGTTTCATTTCGACACCTAGCTTCAATAATTAGTTGTTCAGTTATACAGTAATTAAAAAATCCTTTCTTTACACTAAAAATAAGCATTTTTCGTATTTTATTTATGTTTCTTCCCAAAAATTGTTCGAAGTATTCGAAATTTCGGATTTGTGGGGTTCAATTTAGCGCAGTACTATTGTATATAGAATCGAAATGTGTTACGATGCGTTAATGTTAGTAGTAAGGTAAATTTTTAATATACTGTTTTATACCTTAATTGCGATGCAAATGCATAGAATAACATTATAAAAATAAAATATAATATGTTTATTCACTTAAAGTTATATTTTTATGCACTTTTATTACTACATTAGGATTTTTTGTTACAGATATAGCCCGGAAGATTAATTTTTTCTAAAATATGCATTTATTCTGCTTAAAGTAGTGGTCCAAGAGGCATTGAAAAATTAAAAATAGTATTTAAAATGAATAATTGTAAAATATTAATAATTAAAAGTATTCACATTTCTGTTCTAACCCTAAAATTTACATTAGTATCTACATATAAAGAAATTATATATTTTTTTGTAATCTTGATTCGACATAACCACCCGGGAGGTGACTACGAATTTGCTTCGAGACGCTGCCTCTGTGAAATTTTATTGTGTGATCGCTTTTGAATATTGAAATGGCATCCATGAAAACAGAATTTTAGTTTCGATTATTCACATTTATGTGATATCCAGCACTGAGAAGCGTATATTATACACAGAGAGCACTGTTCTCAAAAGAGATCGGAGGCCCTACTGTAAGGTAAAGGATTGCTCGTCAGCGAATAACGAGTCTGTCAGCATCAATAAAAAATAAAAACTTATTCACTGGTATTATTTTTTTCGTTCAAATTTTAACACTACTCTGCCCTGGAGCCTCCCCTCCCGCAGAAAGACATAATACGATCGTGACTTCTTTTTCTCTACGTTTGCAGGTGTTTCCTACTTAATCACGATCCATGCCAGGAGGAAAAAGCAAAATAGTAATGAAAAAGGCAAGCATGAGACAAAAAACCAAACTTCTTAGTGTTAAAAGTTGTTAAAAGTCATAAAATCGTTACAATTTTAAAAAGGGATTTTTCCAAACTTCCGGGATCTAGTTATAACTTTACGATGTCACTAAACTAGTTTCATTCCGAATCTTGAAATATATTTGTTCTATATTTTATCCCTTTCACTCATATTTAATTTCTTCCTATAGAAATTGCAGTCAGCAAGTTCGTAAACACCATTTTCACATTTCCAGCACATTAGGAAAAACATTTAGATATTTATTTGAATAATTTTACCGCGAGTCACGTGATGTGCATATTTAGGGAGAATGTTTTCAGCACTCGTGAACATAAATATGATTCCCGATTGAAAATATTAATTGTTACGGGTTAAGTGGAATACCATTTGGGAATAAACTGAATTTATTGATAATGAATTCATAAAATTCAGAGTTGGATCGATCCAATTGCCACTTGTTGCCACGTCCAACCCCAGCATTAGGAGGCCATTGCTTTCCTGGGATATCGTTTCGTTGAGGCAGCTCAAGTTGATGGAAACTAGCTTTTAGAGTGAAATAAATTGCCAACGCATGTGGAACAATGTGTGACTAAGAAATTGTGTGAAATAGAGACCACTGAATGTGTTAAAAATTCAAAAGTATCTCACGAGAAGACAAGTGGGAGGATACTTAGTGAAAGATATCCATATGAAATCGTAATCCTGGGAATATCCTGTCCTATATCCGGAATTTACTGGGAATATTGTGTCCCATTTCTCGGAGGAATAGTGGCTGCTAATTCCTCCGTTTGTAGTCTCGACGACGGAGACAAATGCATAGAATGTAATCAATGGTTAAATTGGGATCAAAGTGTATATGAATGACTCTTTGATATTTAGTCGGAAAACATCAACTATGATCTTTACACAGCTTGCAATGCATAAGTATGTGACTGTTTTGCACACCTCAATGGCGCTACTTATTTTAGATTTTACACACTCTCCTCATATAGTATTAAAAAAACAAAACAAAACAATGCTTACAGGTGTAACAATATTTTATTATACCTACCTCATATCCGTACCTTGAGTACGCAGGGGTTTACAACATTATCTAGATGTGCGTAAGACACGCAGAACGACTCGGCTTGTACCAGCACGACTCATATATGTCCCAACACTGCAATCATAAAGTTTCATCATTTTACGGCGTTTATTTTTAATGATGTTCTACTCTTCTCACTACCATCGTCAGATGAAGTGCTTTGTAAGCCTTTCCTCCATTGTGGCTATCTGCCTTCGAAAGAAGACGACAGAGGTGCATTTACCCTAATAAATATGTATTTGGCATTTTAGTGTCGGATTAATCCCAGCTTTGCCAGCTAGCTTCCAGGCGTAGGACCTGTTTTTACTATCCCGTATATACGGAGTAATATACGTAGTATAGAGAAAGTTTTGTTATGCTGCAGAAAATAGATTTCGATATTTCAACGGAAACACACGTTTCGGTATACTCGGATACCTGAGAAGTGTTTTTTTATTTCAAAACGTCCGTCCCTCTGCCTGTATATCGGTCCGTCCGTCTGTCTGGTGAATGTAAACAACAATAGCACCTAAACTATGAGTGCGATTTTTTCCAAACTGAAGAAACCCCTCTCGATCTAGCCTGAGTCAAAGCTCTGCGATTTTGAAAAACATTCGTTAATTTTTGAGAGTGCTTTACATGAAGACCGACGAAAATTTTCAATTTTTTTTCAAAAGCGGCAAAATCTTTAAATTTCTTTTAATAAAAGCGTATAATACACTTACAAATGTGGCAATGTGATTTTTTGAGATAACGCTGAATTTTCGAAAATTTTGAAAAAACTACAAAATTGAGATAGAGATTTTTCCTTCAAATAAAATTTGTTCTCCATACTGAGTTATTTCATTAAGGTCATGTACATTAGTTTGAAGTTTTTACTTGTTTTGTGCAATATGTGCACTTTTAAAAATAACAAAGACAAGGTTTTTTCTAAAGCTGCTCCACAATTTTTTTCTTTAAACGTTTGGTAACGATAGTGCAAAATGTACTCTATGAGTTGACATAAACATTAGTTTGTTATATTCCTTTGTATTCCTAAAAAATACAAAAGTGTAGTTTTTTAGTTGTCTCTCACGTCGTTAATATTCACACTAGCCGCATTTTTTTCACGTAATTATATTTGTGAGTACATGTGTTTTAAATAATGTCATATAAAGTTTCTCAATATCACAACCGTTTTTGTGAAAACTAGCTCCAAATCCTACATTTATTCCCAAAAATAGCTCAAAATTGTTTTCTTTAAACTTTTTCAACATATAGTGCTAATTGCACTGTTTAAGGTGGCCTTAAATTAATTTTGCTACATTCTTTTTTTTTCAAATATTACACACATGTAATTTTTGAAATCCCATTTTCTTAAAAACGGCTGCAAATGATTCAATGGCAATTGCCATTTAGAACCAAGTTTTACTCTTTTTTAATATTCATAAAGTAATAATTCGATTCTACTATCAGAAAACGGAAATAATTGAGAAAATTTAAAAAAAAGAAGAATTCGGACGTCGGTAGATGGCAACTGGCAAGAGAATGGATCAGGTCAGAATAGCTAGCCCAGGCCAAAAATATAATACTAATACGAGAAAGTCTGGGCCATTGTGTAGCACTACTACTTCAATGCAATATCTACTATTGGGGATGAGGGAGTCATATGGTGAGGAGGACATATTCCCAGTGTGTACCTTACTTGCTCTGCCTGGACCTTTTCGTGCGTTGCATAGCTATAGAAACTGAAACGATTGGTGTAAGAAAGCTAGAGTACAATTTTTGCGTAGCCGGGGATCGAATCCTAGTTCGCCTTAGAATGGTAGCACGCTGTCCATAAATCAGCATAGGGGCTGACTCGCTAAGTAATTAAAATATTTGCTCAGATTTTACTATTCTTAAACGAAAACAACTTTCCTATGTAGGGATTCTTTTAGACATTTTAAGAGGTGACCATATCGGAAAGACTGGTCTGCTAAACAATACATAAATTCTGTAATGAGTTTTTCACGTTTACTACTTGTGTAAATAATATATCGTGAACAGTCTATATGAAAACAATGTGCTTATTGATATTGAAAAAACTACGGAAAATTTCATTACTTGGGGACATTCGCTAGAATTACACCTAAACAACAAAACTAATTGACTTTATTTTATTGTATGCTTTGATTAAATTCATTCCAGACAATACAGGCAATAATGTCATTTAATAAAACATATATAGAGCATTTAAATAAAACAAATCCGTTATTTTCAGTTGAGGGCGTCAATAAAAGTAACGCAAAAAATGACATTACGGCAAGTTTCCTCAATATATTTGTTTCCCCAGCAGTAAAAGCGCGGATGTGTTATACGTAAAACGTACTAATTCTACATAGAGTGCAATATTTTACATTTCGTTATAACTTGTGTATTAATATCATATTACATGACTTTCAACCAAAGTTAAATAACACTTTTGTTATGATCATTCTTTAATGTAATACATTTAGCTTGTTTCTGAAATATTTTCTACAAATGATTTATTTAACATGCATGTTACAAGAAGTTTAATTTTTTATAACATCAGACTGCAATGCGCAGTCTGTAATAACTGATAATGTAATATGTAGAATTAATGAAAGTTTTTAAAATTACAAATCCAAATACAGAATAATATACTAATATAGTATAAATACATTACTAAAAAAAGGATGATAGCTGATACATTACTTAGGAGTGTAACTTAAAAAATAAAAGAATCGGGAATGTGAAGAATAGATTTTCGTGCTTCTTTGATGATTTGAAAGATTTCAGTGTTTTTTTGTTTTTTGAGTTCGCATCAACTACTAGGTCATTAGCGACCACTATTGCTTGTAACGGTATGGTAACTGTGGGTTGACGAGATAATGATGATGATAGGGGGTGAAAGGACGAAACACAATACAACAATGCCCGAGGCGGGACTCGAACCCGCGATCCTTCGGTCCGTGTTGGCTACGGCACTACTGCCTTAGCGATCTCGGCCACCGGATCGGCTCAGTGTTTTTGTGCTCGCGAACGAGGACCCCTGTCCGCATGCACGCGTTCACTAAAAGTCAAAAATTGTTCGTCGAAAGGAAGCCTGTAAAAAAGATCTAAGAATAATTTAAACGTATTTAATTATAAGTTCAAAATGCACCTTTAATCGTTATTCATTATTTTTGATGGATTACAACACGCGTACTCAAGTACTGAGCATCTTGCTCTGAGAAAGGTCATAGAACGGCAGCCGCAATGCCTTTAAATTGTTTTGTAAGCATTAAATGTATTTGTCTGAATGACATTGACACATTCAATTTCATAGCAAAATCGCATATTTAATTTAGCATTACACTCTATCAAAGTCGCACTCAATTATGAAAATTTATTTATAAATTAACTTAGTCTACAGAAAATATACGACACTATATCAATAGGACGTATCAATGAAAATATAGGTTTAGTTTACTTTCGTATTACATTTATATTGAGAAAATTGTATTATATCAAAGAACACGTATATTTTTTACTTAATTTTTCGGTCCTCTAATAGTATGAATGAGAAATAACGAAGTATATCAGAGAATTGTGAAACTTGAGTGTACTTGCAACTTTTATTGAAAAAGTTGAAGTGAGTTTTTTAGAAAATGTTTGATTATTTTGAAAACACGCAATTTTGATATCATTTGCCCAGAAAACATTTCAGTTTTCAAGAAACTTTACAATAACGCATTTTAAGATTTACACTTACAAATGCTTCAAATTATAAAAAAAACTCTAATGCAAAAAAATATCAACGACGTGAGAGATATTTCCGAAATTATTTTTTTAATTTGTGAATTATCAAAAGAATACATAAAAATAGCTGTTTGTCTGGTTCTTTACTAAGACTACAAGGGTAGAAGAAATTCAAAGAAAAAAAATTGAAGTTGTTTTTGAGAAAACATTGTAAAAAATATCATTGGAATTGACGCGAAAACTAATACATTAAAAAACATGTATTTTACAATAAATAAATAAGTGAATCTGAAGAACAAATTTCATTTGAAGAAGAAATATCTTTCTTTAATAGTGTATTTGTATGAAGCGTCCAAAAAATTTCATATTTATTCAATTTGCAAAAATTTGTATTTAAGATTGAAAATAGAACCTATGTCATTTACCCAATGTTTTTCAATCCTATATACAATATTTACGTATAAAATATTACATGACGTTTCAGAACAATAGAAATAGAGATATTAGATCGATCCATGTAATTTTTTTTCGTTTGTTGGCACACAGCGACACATGCAATGTGTTTGTAGGGTAATTGAAATTATTAAAAGCTTTGAGAATTTACAATCCTTTAACCTTTAAAAGAACAACGTAAGTAAAAGCTTCAAAAGCGAGGATCTGTTCACGTTTCTTTTGTCTGGAAATGTGACAGAGAGGGCCAAGAAGAGTGGCTGGACACTTCGCCTGTGCCGTGACTTTGCAGAAGGGTCGGCTGGAGGAAAGGGATTCTCGCCCCTAAAAAGCGGTGACGAGTGCGTCTCCTTGTAATTACCTATTTTTATCACCCCCTCTCTCTCCGTTAACGAGTCCCGTAATCCGCATTTCGCCCTCGCCGGCTTCCCAGCAAAGAAACCGTCGCCCCCCGACGCGGCTCTGTGGAACCGTACCGTTCTTCTGCCGCCAGAGGGAGAATTTGCCAGGCGGCACTTCTTGGAAACGAGTTACGGCGAGAGGGGTCTTCGAGAAAATACTTTAGATTTGTGAATAGAAAAAAACGTAGAATATTATTCGAATAAATTACCTGGACAACTATTTTATAAACTCTCTGGCGTTTTCCTGTAATATTATTACTTGTAACATTGAGGTAGATTCTGAAGTATTTCAAAGCATTTTGTTACCCTAAAAGTGATGTATAGTGAATTTTTAGGTATATATAAAAGTAAAAAATGTTTCTTATTCATTAGTACAATCATCTTTCCAAGATGATACGTTTTGCAGTAAATATTATTTTTATTTTACTATTATCTAAGTTATTAAACATTCAAAATATTAATTTCATTAAAACAATAATACCGTAAAAATAAAATATTATTTATTCCGTTTTTAAAGACAAACTCTCAAAATAATGCCGCTAATTTTATCATGGAATAGTCATAGTTCCTTTTATACTCCGTGAACTTCATCAGCACTCTTCGAATGCTTCCGCCAGAGCCGACAAGGAAGGTTTCTGGCTGTTGGGGACGGTAGTATCGTCGAGTTCGTGGCACTGTGTGGACGGTTGGTGAAAAAGGACAGAGAACGTCGTAAACGAAGGAACTTTTACATCAGAGGTGAGTGCAGAGAAAAGTTTTTTTTAGTGGTGTTGTGAATGTACATGTTGGAGAGCGTCCATCATGGGATTTCTCCCTTTCAAACAGAGTCGCAATGATGACAGTACTGAATGTGCTCTGCCCGCGCAGCACTCCCACAGGTTCCGAGAACAACCGAGTATGGATTCCGTTATTTGAAATATTTTATTCAAAGGACTTGTATATTTAACGACGTAGCTCACTATTTGCTCTTGCCGCAATTTATTTGCTCTTGTTTCTGAATGGCACCTGCCCCGTTGTTTGATGTAGAAAGCTGGAGTTGTGATGACTCGCGCAAAATCCAGCCTTTGGGTACGGGTTCGGCTGTACCTCATTGTTATGCGTAAATTTAAATAAAAACTACAGTAAAATGAAACTTTTGTGTTGGAAGTTTCTCGTTCGTTCAAAGTTTAAAACTAACCTTGGAAGTCTATCTGCGCTGCTTTCTTGCCTTTGTAATAAATTAGTATGCTTGAACCACATTTATTGACCTTACAAAAGTTTAGAAAAGTTGCACAGAGTAGTTTTGTTGTGTTACGATAGTCTTGTCAGAAATTCTTACGATTATTGTTTAAAATTTGATATTCTATGCACAAAATGCAATTTAGTGCAAAAATCCATGTTCACAATTTCTATACAATTTGATATGTGTATCGTATTTACTTCTTTATTGTTCTTGTACGTCAGTATCATTTCTGAAAAGTTTGTCAACAAAATAGAAAAGTAAATCTGGTGCACTGTTGATTATTTGATGTCGTCTTTGATTCGTCCAGATACAGGCCTTCAAGTGTCCTCTAGCAGGTGATATATTGTATACATAAGAAATTCAAAGCACAGATTTCTAGGAAGACTTGCGGATGAGAATGATCTTGAACTTCACTTTCAAGAACAGTACCCTTTCTTCGATGCTAGGCGTCGGGCACGTAAGAATATTGTGTATTAATTGCAGTACTTTTGTAATTTATTTGTCAAACCCTAAAACGTAAAACCCTGCACGTGACGTATGAAGCAAAAGTATAATCTGCAGTAGCATCAGCAAAAATTACAATAGTGACAATAATGCTAGATATAATGCTAGCAATAACAATAACAATGATAATAATAATGATAATAATGATAATAATATTAATAATAATAATAATAGTAATAATAATAAAAATGAAGTGTACGTTCTGTGATAGGATTAACGGTCGAGTGGGACAATTTTGGACGCTCTCACAGACGGCTCGAAACACCTGCAGCGGGTGCTGTTTGGAAAATTCCGCGCTAGATTCAGCAACGAAATTTGTGGGTGCGTTCTGACCGCAGCGTCAGTTAAGTCACCGGTTGGCGACAGTTTTTCACATCCAATAAACAAAACGCACTGGCTTCCATTCTTACACCAGGTAGAAAATGCTTAGTTACTTGATGTACGATTTTTGAGCACATGCTCTTTCCTGCTTTATTTACGATTTCCTTCAAATTGTTATTATCTCTTTAGAAAACGTAGAAATGAGATGATTTGAATCTAGAAAGAAACAAGTATGGATAATTTCATACTATGGTACCACAGAGGACGAGAAACACTATTATATTTACTGAATGACGAGTGACAGGTTTCATGAACGTTTGAATCTGATCACATAAGATATAGGAAAATCGGACATTAGCAATATAATTATATAAATATACAGCATGGAATGCGGATATTTCGTGCGGGTTTGTCGGGGCATTAATACAATGTTCTTTCTAATAGTGGTTAAGAAGGCATTGATAAAGTGAGTGTTTTCTCTTTACCACAAAAAGGAGCCCTCCTGGAAAAGTTTTTTAACTCGTGTAGATACGATGTATTTAATAAATGATTGTATTCACGCCTCTTCAAATTTACTCTCGTGTATCGCAATATTCAAAACCTTACATTATCCGGCTTCATTTGTCCTACGTTTCTCTTCGTTGCACCCGTCGCGACGTTCCTTCAATTCAGTGCATTAGCAAGGTAACCACAGTCGCTGGCAATGAGCCATCGTGCGGTAGTGCATTCCGAGGTTCAAACCAGGGCCCTATAACTCCCATATAACGTGGTGGAGACCATTACGGTGGCGCGCTCTGCTGCATCGCCTTCTTTACATGAACTAAAACACGAACTGCTGCCAACGATACTTTAAACGTGCGTGGCTACTGCGTGAGTTTGCGGGTCGCAAGCAGGCCCATAATGTTACTAAAGATAACGTCTATGTTCGCGCATTATTCAGAGGTTTCTTATAAGTATAGATTATGAACAATAGTACATTTATAAGACACTTTTCGTATTTCTCACAAATTAGCCAATTTGTATGTGGGAAAGTTGGCGAGCCTAACCTGCAGCTGCACCTGGCGACACTAGCGCTTCCTATAGTAGCAACCTCGAGCTTTGTCCCCAGTTTTGATAGAGAGTTGCCGGGCCCTGGTTCAAACACTGCCCTGTCGTCGTCTTTTCCTATTACCCAAGGTACCCTCGCCTCTCCCCCCCCCCTGCCTTATCTGCTTCGACAAACTTTCTTCGGGCGGAGGGCGTGTGGAAGGGCGTGAAGGGCACCAGGGGAGCCCTTCGTCTCGAGGGCGTGCGCGAGCACGGCACGGAGGGGGAGGGCGCCCGGCCACGCCCACAAACGACTTGAGACGGGGGGGGGGNNGGGGGGGGGGGGGTGAGCGAAATTGTCTCACGTCTCTCGAGTTCAGAGCAATACTTGTTCTTAGAGACGAATCTTACTTGGAACGAGTGTATAGTGGTCTGCCAAATTATTGTACTCAGCGGAAGAAAATGCGTCTTTGAAAGAGAAACCATCAAATTTTTCAATTTGTTATTGTAGTAAATTGCCCATTTTTGATCTATTTATTTTTAGAACTATAAAAAACGTTGTACACCCTAACAATTCCATAAAATGGACTTCCATAAATTGGATCTTAAATACACTTTAGAAAGAAATTATATTTTCAAAGGAGGAGCTATTAGTAGTAAGAATATTACTATAAAAAAGTAAATATATATGGGTGAAAACCAAACCAGTATAAGTGACATTTTATGAATTCAGAAAAATCTGTTTATTGAAGTGCGAGAATTAAGAAAATGCATTTCAAAAATGTTATGAACAGCGTAGTTCTTATTGTGTCTAAGTGTGGTTTCACAAAGTATTAGTATTTTAAAGCAAATTAGTGTTTAGGAAACGCATTTTGTCCTAAAAATGTTAGAAATGATGTATAGTATTCCACAAAAAAACATTGATTTTATTTTTCACTCAATTTTTTATAAATTATATTTTTGCACTGGGTATAATGAATTTGCAGCCCACTGAAACATGCATGAAATTTGAACTTCAGAAGTCGTGGAAATAGCTTTCCTATTTTCAATTTAAAACTATAAACTTGTTTATTCTTGATACGTCAGTTTAAGAAATAACCTTATAATAGTTTAAATAGACCGATGTAAGAAACAATGTTGTCTTTTTTCAGCAAGGATGAACCGGTCTATTGTCATAGATATTTGTTAAATTATTTTCGGAAGGATGTATTAATTTCCATATGATTATTGTAAGCACAGCTCTCTCAATTAATTTGGAACGATTTAGAATATGTTAAATTTCAGTCACCAAGGGCAATGTACAGATAGAATGTCTAACAAAAAAGTTCGTTATAAGGTCGCTGACCGAGGAAAAGAAACCCATACCCAAAGTAGTTATTTTGAAGGTATCAAATTGACAAATAACGATAAGAAATATTTTTCGAAGGAGATCATAGATATTGAAAGTACATCAGTCGCGCGAAGTAAATTTTTCCGCCCAGGATAACCTATTTCACCTACAAAATAGTTTTGTTGTTATTTTTGCCCACTATTTATCTCCTGATCACCTAAATTATCGTACTGAAGTGAATATGATCTCTTTCCAAAAGAGAGAAACTGAAGGATTCTGTAATCTGTATAGAAGCATGCGGCTCTTTGTAAGTTTGGTAATAACAAATGAAAAAAGTTATGTATTGTTTTGTTATTCTATATTAGTCTTCATAAAGTGTCAGGTGGATTACATTTAGAGGCGTCCGGTATTGAGTTACCAATTCTACAATTTATCATCAACAGTTCAAAAACAGCAGTCGTTATTAGCCAGTTAATACGTGCAAAGTGTACTGACGTGAGAACGTTTTTCCAATCGCCGCTACTTTGCCAAATTGCAAGAAATACTTGAAATGATTTTTGGATACTAATGGGCTGTTGGAACTTTTTCGTGTACGGGTTTCATGTACGGTCGGCAGCGGTTCTGTAAGTTCAAGCTGAGGTACCTCTCAGATTTTACTTACAGAACCGTTCCAGAACAGGACTTTACGAATACATTTCTAACGTTGTAGGGTAGAAAAAATACTATATTCAGGTCCTCCCATTTGACAAAGTAGCAGCGTTGAAGAGTGTTCTCACTGTAATATTGGATATTAATTAAAAGCGTTTCAGCAAGCGAAAGAAGGTTTAAGAGATGCCTTTATATGCGTTTTCTCTGGAACTGAGCCCTTATAATTGGATAGAAGCTAAACATGTACGACCAAGATGCGCTCGCGAGTCAGGGTGCATTCGGCCCTCGCATCTCGCAGGCTGCTTCTGCAGTGGCGCTGCATGAGAGGCACGCGAGTCTCCTTCGTTAGAAGCGATGAAGTGCGTTGGTGTGAGTGAGTGGTACTGAGACACTTGGAAAGCGTCAGGAGCTAAGTGGGAGGGGGAGCTGAGGATGCGGTGGCGTTGGTGGTGGTAGAAGTGTGAGAAGAGGGTTTGGAAAGGTGGGGGAAAGAATGGATGCGAGGGCAAAAGGAATTGGAAAGAGGGAGGAGAGTACGGACGGGGAGAGCGATAAGGGTAAGGGATGGGAAGTTGACAGGGGTGGTGGTGAGGGAAGGTAGCGAGGGAGAACGGGAGAACGAGGATGTGCGAGTGAGGATACGCGCGTCTTGTTTTAATTAACAGCGCTGCGGGAGGGGGGGAGGAA